CATTGTGGCTGTGAAGTAGTGTATTTTACTTTCCTGTCGCTCACAGTCTGAGGCCTTTTCACACTTTTGAGTTTTTGAAGTCATAACGACAAGGGGAGAAAAAAACGATGGCTTCGGACTCCTGGGCCCAGGCAGTGGACGAACAAGAGGCGGCGGCGGAATCAGTAAGTGTAAAAAGTGCTAGTTCATGTTGTGTTAGCCTTTAAGATGTTAAAAGACTCGGGCCTAGCACGGTTCAAAATGAATATTTACCTTTCGTCAATGCCCGACAATGTTTCAATAGAAGGCTGAGTGTTTGGCCGCGTCTACAGACAATTCCTTAGCCAAAACGCAAGCGCTAACATGCGCCATATTAGCTGGAAAAGAAGGTGCTGCGTGCCTTGCGCGTTGCTAGCTTGAGCAGATGCTACTTTTAAGGTTAATTCATTGAGACAGCTTTAGCTGGCTGGCAAGTGAATGATGCAAGAGGTTCCAAAATAGCTAAGCTGAATAAGTACAAGCGTTGACTGCATCAGATTTGTGCTTACCAAGTTTTATGTTTCAGAGACACGTTTAACTCTGTAGCAGTTAAATCTGTAGCAATTGTCAAACAATTCCGTTAACGTGGTTTTGAAATCCATTGATGTGTAAATTGTTTTCCCACAGATTGGAAACCTTCAATTAAAAGACACGCCTGGAGAAAACGGTATGTTTACAGAGTTTCCAGACTTATTTTGAGTATGAATATGATATAATTTGATTTTGGTAATTTAGGAACATCTATACCTTCAGCAGGCGGTACTGTTGCAAAGTCAGGAGATAAGACTTCAGGAGACAAGACGACAGATGAAGATGAAAGTGGTGAGCTGGTGGGATCTTGTATTTGATAGATGGTTTTCTGCATTGCGCCACACTTCACATAATCTCACATGCTATATCATACACTCAGCACACCATGGACAACTTTAAAATGATCTCCGTTTACAACAAAGTTTACACATGAAGGGATAGTGTATTTGTGCAAGTTTGTCAAGATCAATATTATTCATATTTTCATGTTATGTATTGTCCTTCAGCTCACTAATAATTTCACCAAGCTTTAAAGCACAATTTCTAATTTGATTTTTTTTCTTTTGTGCGCAGAAGATAAAGCGGCCCAGTCGTTGCTGAACAAGTTGATCAGAAGTAATCTTGTCAACAACACAAATCAAGTTGAAGTGCTTCAAAAGGATCCCAACTCTCCACTGTACTCTGTCAAATCTTTTGAGGAGTTGCGACTGTAAGTGTATATACTTATAAAAATGCTACGCCACGACTGATTCCTTCCAGGTCGATGGAGTAGGAGCCATGTAAGGCATGTGCAGATACTTTTAGTTAAACACGGGTGACAATACGAATAAGGCCTTTCACACGGCACATAGCCTAGCGAAGCACACTGTCGACTCACTCATTCCTTGGATATGTGCTGCATTGGTGGTTGCCG